TGCTGGAATGGACTACCAGGGGGAGACCTCATTGCACTCTACAACTTCCTAAAGGGAGGTTGTGGTGAAGAGGGGTTTGGCCTCTTCTCCCAGGCAATGAACAGGACCTGGGGAAAGGGTCGCAAGTTCTACCAGAGGAGGTTTAGGTTGGACGTGAGGAAAAACTTTTTCTCTCAGAGTGTGGTCAAGCACTGGAATGGCTGCCCTGGGAGGTGGTGGAGTCGCTGTCCCTGGCAGTGTTGAAGAGGCATCTGGATGAGGAGCTGTGAGATATGGTTTAGTGCTTGTGGTAGCAGTGGGAATGAGAAGACGGTTGGACTAGATGATCTTATAGGTCGCTTCCAACCTTGTGATTCTATGATTACCCAGGGAGGTGACAGAGTCCTGTGATAGTGACCATGGAAGCATTCAAAAGATGCTTAGATGTGGTACTAAGAGATATGGCTTATGGGGAAATATTGGTGGTGGGTGGGCAGTTGGACTGGATGATCTTGGAGGTCTGTTTCAACCTTGGCGACTTTATGATTCTAAGTCCTTTGTGTTTAATTGTATAGCAATCACAGAATCCTTAGAGTTGGAAGGGTCATCTAGTCCAATTCTCCTGCAGTGAACAGGGACATGCACAGCTAGGTCAGGTTGCTCAGAACCTGGTCCAGCCTGGCCTTGAATGTCTCCTGGGCAGGGCTTCCACCACATCTCTGGGCAATCTGTTCCAGTTTGCGGGAGGCAAAGAGACAAAGCCAGACTCTTTTCAGCAGTGCGCAGCAATAGGACAAGGGGAAATGGCCATAAACTGAAGCATAGGAAGTTCTGCACAAACGTGCATAAGAACCTCTTCACAGTGAGGGTGACAGAGCACTGGAACAGGCTGCCCAGAGTGGTTGTGGAGTCTCCTGGATGGCTATTTGTGCAAATTGGTCAAGGGAGCCTGCTTTGCAGGGGGATTGGACTACATGATCTCTAGAGGTTCCTTCCAGCCTGTAGAATTCTGTGATTCTGTGAAGGTTCTCCTGCTCCCCCACTCCTCTCAGCCCACAAGTGTGTGGTGTTTTGTTTTTTAATTTGTAACAGTATCTTTTCTCTCCTGCCCTAGAAGCATGGTCATTAGTGTGATACAAATGCTAATTCATAACTAATTAATTAAAAAAAAATAAAAAATTGTGCTTAAGAACCACTGCAAATTCAAGCATGGAAAGACTATGTTGAAAGTTGTTGCAGTACCATAATCATTTATACAGTTGTGGTGTGTTCTCAGATAAGTGCCAGTAAACATGGATTTCACTCGAAAGGCTGTAGGCAGCTCAGAGAGCACAAAACTATTCCCACAAAGTATTTTCATTACATGGTGTACTTTCAGAACCTTCAGACTGTTAAGAGAGAGCCAATGCATTATAACTGGAAGGGTGTTATCATGAGCATTTGCTTTATTGCTGTTCTGTGAGGCTTAATTGCATTCCTAATATGATTTGAGAGCTCACAGTCTACCTAGCATCTCCAGCTTTGTTCTATTGCATTTCCTTTCTTGTGCACCTTAATCTTGGAAAAACAAAGTGTAGAACAAATTTTTTGTTACGTCCCTTTTAAATCATTTAAAAGGGAATCTTGATTACAGTATTTTCTTTTACAGAGTGCTCATGCAGCCATCTGTGCTCCAATGTAAAATATATTTTTTAACATCCTTCCATTACTTTGACTCTTCAGAAACTGAGAATGTTCTCTTTAATGCTGCATGCATACTTAAATTGCACTGGAGTATTGTCACAGCTTGCTGCTTTGGAAAAGTTTATCCCCCTTTAAAACAGATCTTCTGGGAGGTGCTGCTGCTTTCTTTCCAAGTTCAGTAAATCTTTTTCAAACTCGTATGTCTAGATTTCTAACGATGTAGCAAGGCTGCTATGTCTGCAGGGGATACTTGAATCTCTTACGTGTATTTAGAAGTTTCTCAGCATGGTAAAAAGCATTCTCTGTGGCTTGACTTATCTGAAGGTACTTAGCCCATCTCTGCACTTTTTATTTCTGTATTTGCATTGGAGAAACTGGTTGCAGATTCCTGAGAGCTCTGAAAAATAAAGCACCAAAAAACTGGCGAAGACTAACTAGTGCTTATTTCGTAATCTGTGTCGTATCTGCCAAAAGTTTCTAAACAAAACTCGGAATAAAGCAAGGAAAACTTCAAGAAGGTAAAAATCTGAAATAAGCAATAAAAAATTGAATTATAAAACATGGATAGCTCTTCATATATAGAATGTAAGATAGCAGCATTACATTTTTTAGTAACTTCCCATGGGTAGTCATGCCCAGGCTGCTCGTTCATGCTGGTTGTGACTTCAGGTGAGCAGAACTGCAGCAATTTTGGAGTTCCTTATTTTAGTACATCTTTTACTTGTTTTGAATTTATTTGCTTCCACTGAGTCATTCTGTAGATCTGTGTTAAAACTGAACTTAAGATGAAATTCCATGAATCCAGTTTGTACCTTGCCTACAATAAAATCCAGACTTTTAACCTGAAGCTTTTATTTTTGACTCCCTTGGCTCTCACCTGCCTTCAGCCCTGCTGACTCTGCAGTCCTGCTCCCTACCTGATGTCTACACCACTTCAGAATAGCTGGTGCTGCCCAAGACTGAAGTGGTGCCAAGAGCCTGTTTAAATTCCACTTGTCTTTAGTTTCAGAATGGCTGCGGTTATTGCCTTTCCTGGGTGTGCTGGCCTTGCTTGGGTACCTTGCCGTTCGTCCGTTCCTTCCCAAGAAGAAACAGCAGAAAGATAGCTTGATTAACCTCAAGATCCAGAAGGAAAATCCAAAAGTAGTGAATGAAATAAACATCGAAGATCTGTGTCTCACTAAAGCTTACTGCAGGTGTTGGCGTTCTAAGACGGTAAGATACCTTGTTGCTGCGTCAGGATGAGAAGCTGAAATTTGCAGTATTTTTATCAGTTCTGAGGTGGTGGATGGCAGCAAGTTGTCCTGTTGCTTTTCTCTGAGGGTGGGACAGGCTTCTGAGAACTGCATAGTTCTTTCTTTTCTCTACCATAAACTCACCTACATGCAGAGAGAAACTGTTCAGTCTTGTAAAATAGCACGGTATGGTTTTCCTAGAAAACTTACCACGTGACCATCTGTGAAAAGCATCATAAAAGCAGCCTTAAGATTTGAAAATAGAAGAATATATGATGCCAAAACAGTATTTAGAAAACTTTACATATTAGAATGAAAGTGGGACCTGTGTTTAGACAGAGCATATCCCCAGAACAACTAATTGATGACTGCTTTCAATAGTCCATATCCTGAGTCAAAGAAAGGTGGATGGGTATTTTTCATCTAGTTTCTTATGATTCTGACATCACACTGGTTTTAGCTTCTTTGGACTGAATGGTTTCCTGCTTTAACAAAAAATTGTGCCCTCAACCTAAGGGAGGTCTCTGAAATTCTCTCCCTTCAGAAAGATCATTTCAGCAAAGGGAGGAATGGGGGGGGAGGGGGCAGGTTTTTGGTTTTTTTTTCTAGCTAGTAACATGTCAGAGGTCTGACAGGGGAAGGGAGTTTGTTGAAATGGGACACAGTTGGAGGAACTACCAACTTTGATAAAGTGTTCTCAGCAAAGGAAGGACTGTGAAAATCACTGTGTAATTGTTGTACAGAGATGTACTAACTTCTTGTTTGTTTTCTTCCAGTTCCCTGTCTGTGATGGCTCTCATAACAAGCACAATGAATTAACAGGAGATAATGTAGGACCACTAATACTCAAGAAGAAAGAAGTATAGCAAATTCTTAATCCATTTGCTCATGACTGATGAGTCTTTTATACCACTGTAGTTGCAAGGAGCAGCATTTTATTATTATATGATTGGTATGATTTAGTCCAGTGATTGCTGTAGATTTTTTTTGAGATAAAGTACATTTAGACAGTGCTAGATCTGTCACTGTTTTGATACTTTATTCTAAGAATTATTATGTCTGCTTTGTAAAACTGTAAAGTAACTATTTCTGTAAATAAGTCATTTGTTTCAACAATAAAATGACTTCCTGCAGTTGAGCCTTTTTTGTGTGAACATGCAGTAACAAAAAAGTCACTATTTCTAGGTAAGCAGGTCAACCAGTAAAGTTGCCCCTTTATTCTGGGCCCATTCGTCATTCATGTGCATGTAAGGAAGCTCTTTGAAAGTTCACTTGCACTGCAGAGGCTATTTCTTTTAGCAGGGACAGTCATAGGAGGAGTTGGCTAAATGACAGAACTGAGAAAGTGAAGTAAAACTGTGTTCTTGGCTTCTTACTGACTCATTAGTAAGACAAGTCAGAACTGTGCTGTGGTATGGCTTAACTTCAGTTATAGGTAAATAATTGCTACTTATTCAGCTGTTAGACTCCACACTAATTCTTCTAACGTGCTTTATTCTTTAATGAATGGCTGCTTGTTTAAAAGTAGAACTTTAGATGCATGCCCCAATTTTAGACAATTGTCTGAAGGGAAGATCTTGACTATTCTTTAACAAGCATTTCATTTGACCTGTTCTTAGGTAAGAGGGGAAGCCCCACAGCAGCACACTGTTGCCAAAGCTTATCATCCCAGTGCTGAAACAGAAAGTGAGTCAGGAGGCAGTTCTCACACAGTGGCTGTCAAAGCAGCAGTCTCAATAGAGACAGTCCCTGCATTTTTAACAGGTGTGGTTCTAGGTGCTAAAAGCTCTTACCACACAAGAAACTGTGGTACATTAGGATGTGACTGTGGGTTAAATTACTGCTTTCTACAAAGTGTACTGAAACCACAGTACCATCTATCTTTATTTAAATGTTTCATGGAAACCTTATCCTGATGGGTGAAAGCAGCCTGTAAACACTATTGTATTAGGATCTAACACTTAGAGAAAGAACAGTAATGTAAATACCTTGTACTATGCTCTGTTTCACTCTTAGATGCATATACTGAATGCTAAGTTCAATTCTTGGGTTTGGTGGAAAAAGTGCTAGGTGAAATAGAAAAACTCACAGCCATTACAGCAATTATTCTATACAAGTCTTTATGTACTTCCAGCTTCTATCAGGATACTCTTACATTCAGATAATTTCATTGCTTTCTGTGTACAGCAATCCTCTTTTCTGTTGTTCCACTTAGACAAATGCTGCTGAGGTAAGTGATACAGCAGAAGTGAATTTTCTCCCAGAAATCTCCTTTAAAAAAAATGACAATGTGATGTTTAGCCTCTTGCCTCCACCTCTCGCACAATTTGATTATGTAATTGTTTTTCCCCTGCTTTCTGTTGGATGAAACTACTGCTAAACTACCTGCAACTCTGGCTACAGAAACACATGGTGTTTGGTTTGGTTTTGCTTATGTCTCTATGGCAGTGGAACCTACATGAGGTATAGTTTAGCAACAACTGTGTCACAGTTCCTTTTTAGAAAGGACATCTTAATTATTTCTACAGGATAGTCATCTTATCTTGCTTACAATCTTTTTTACTATTTCCCTGCATTTCAAAATGAATCTGTGAAGGGAAAACTGCCTCATGTGGCCACACTTAAGGTGAATCCCATCTTCATGGTGGTTTTGGAGCAGGCCTTAGTCAGGTGCAGCAAAGAGCCCTAACAAGGGGATTGCGCGTTCCTGTAGGGTAATTTTCATACTCTTGGCATTAAAAATCCCTTCTTTTGCTGCAATTGCTGCCTGTGGAAGTACAGCTATAAAACTGAAGTAAACAAAAGCTGAACAACACTGGCTGTAGTGCTTTGGCTGCAGGAATTTCAAACGAAGAATTGTTCTGCTTTTGTTTATCAAAGTAAGAGTTTTGTTTCAGCCTACCTGCCAGGTAAAAATAGCTGTGTAATGGATTCACGTCGCATCAGTCTGAGAAGGACAGCAAAATGCATCCCAAGATGAAGAAGGATACCAGAGCCTTTATCATCCTCTCTGATTTCAAGAATCCATGGAAGTTAGGTGTCTGTACCTGCACTCACCAAGTAAATGAAATTTTCTTGGACTGCTGAGTTCACGGCACTGAATTGGATTGGCTTATCTGAGCCTGTGCTGTTTGCAATTTGGATTCTTCACCTGCAAGCCAAATGCAAGAAGTTTTGCTCTTAATTTAATGTGATGTCCTTTGGAAGACAGATGCAAAACACAAAAATAAAAAAAAATTGCTGAATCCGTTCACAGCTTGTGCTCTAAATGCAAGTCTTTGCAACAAAAAGAAAAGCCAGCCTCACAATTTACTTATCTGTTCAGATTCTCTCTCTAAAGTCTGTGAGCTAAGCTAAGGACTGAAATGTCTGTGAAGCCCTCTGTCTCAGCAATGATAGAGTTGAACGCATTACCTACTAAGGTGTGCTGGGCTCTCTTGGCACTGGGTGACTTTTCCACCTTTAGTTGGAAGCCCCACACAAGGGGATAATAGCATGATAAACACCAGGACACAGGTGGTAGACCAGACCAGATCTTCACTTGTCTTGATGCAAAGTCGGGGAAAGCATAACAGGGCATGTCATACCATGATGCCTTACTCTACTAGAACAGTAGTAATGACCTCTTTCCACTATGAATTTGAACAATCACTGTAATAAACTACAAATAAACCTGCAAAACAAATATACTCAGATAAAGATGACTTATTTGTGTCAACTATTAGACAAAGCAAATGCGATTCAAGCACCATCTGGCCCAAAATTTCACTTCTTGGACTCCATTTAAAATGCAAAAACTATCATTTACCGTTTTGTGGCCATACTACAGCCTGAGCATTTCACAATTAATTCTAGACGTCATCTGAATTCTCCAGAATGTTCAGTTTAGCTGAAAAAGGAAGAGATTGATTATAATTACATTGTTATTTCATCCCTGGCTCATGCTACTTCCTGCTTCCAGATGGCCCCTTTCTGTCTTTACTTGTATGCTGCCTGCTCTAACTCTGCCTGCTGTGTGCCAGCAGGGCTGTGCTGTCAGACTGTTCTGCTGCTGAGGCTCTTCTGAACCTTCTGGAACTGCACATGCATGCAGTGCTCAGTATTCTCCACCTTGCACTTGTGCTTATGTCTGCATGACAGTGGGACTCCCCCAGTTACAGTTACTGCATGTTGCACGCTAATTTCAGTTCCTCCAAAAAAGAGACTGTTTGGCATTGCATAAAGATTTTATTAGCTTGAATTTATGCATTATTCATGAATGATTTCATGGCATTTTGTTCAAAGGGAGGGGGCCCTAGTCGTCATGACTTCACCTCTGCAAACTCTTTCAATTAACTCCTATTTAAAAGCAGCTGAAATTGTCACTTATTGTACTTATTGACAATATCTCAGCCCCGATATAACATTTCTTCTCATGACAAGATGTGTTTTGTTCCTTTCTAGAAAGCAAGGAGCATTATATAGCATCAATACTTCTCATTTTAGATCTGCAGGACTGTAATAGCTTCAATGCGATTCTTATTCACAACTTAATAAAGGCTCAGAGAAAGGGGCCCTGTGACAAATACACTCAGTGGTGAGGAAAGGAAAATTGAATTTGATTTGTGAGACAAAGCTACAGTTGAATCAGTGCAGCTATTCGGGGTCTAGAATGATGGGAGGAGTGATCCTGATAACTAAACTGAGAGGGAACTAAGATTAAGGGAACACGATAGAGTCAATTTATGAGATGGCGAGCAAGGCTGTCAGGCTTATGATTGTGTTCAAATTTAAAGGGCTATAATGCTTACAGTGTCACTGAACACATTCCAAATGTGGTGCAGTGATCGCTCCTTGAAGGAGAGTTTTTATTTTCTATAAAACTTTGTAAATAAACCAAACTATACACAGCTTCTCCTCTACATTTTAATCACATGAAGTGTATTATTCTATAAGCAGCCACTGATGAACTGAACAGCATACTCCTTCACTTTACCCATTAGGTCTGCACATACTACACTTTCCAAATGCAATAAGCTCCTTATAAAACTATCCTCGTTTATGCAACTGAGTACCTCAGTGAGCCATGCACAGCAGGCAGGAGGGACACAGAAGTCAGCGCTTGACACAGTAACCATCTCATGCAGCACTGGAACTGTTCATCAGTCTGTAGAGTTTGAGAGCACCTTCTTCTCTTGTCAGGGAACAAGCATTAACTGAAGACTGTATGTTCCCTAAAAGTGGAGAGAACAGCAGTGCATATGGTAAGGAAGCGTGGACAAAATGAAATAATAATCGTACTTCACAGCTGTCAGGGGAAAACTTACCCAAGAATTTCCTGGCGTTTATCATTGTGCTGGAGCTGCAGGCCACAAACCTTAAATATTTTTAAGAACTTCGCTTTTTGGCTAGAACCAGTTGAAGCCTTTCGCCTGCGAAAGACCTCATACAGGTGTTCTGTGCTCGTATCTACCACAACCAGTCATATGAAAAGGTACACATACTGATTATTATGTATATACAGAGACATAACACACGCACTCCAAATAATACAGGTACATACAGTTTTCCTTTAAAGGTATTTTCTTATTACGTTGCACAATAAAATACAGGAGCTAAAACAGAATTGCATAATGCTTACTTACAGAAACCAAAATATATGGACACATCAAATACATTCTGAATAGTGTTCTGTAAAACAATCTCAAATGAACTGTACTGTAGAACTCTGTGGGCAGCCACTGTCCTCTTAGATCTCAAATCTGTGTTTCTAAACATAACTAAATAAAACTCAGTTTCTGAAGGATGCTGGACTCATTTCATGATTCAGAAAGCAGTGAATGTCCTACTTAGAGCTTGTTACTCACCCAAAATGTAGCAGAGCAAGACAGATTAAACAATCTCTGTAACCGGCAATGCAAAACCCTAACTGGTACGAAAGCTGAAGACAAGAGCAGGGTTTTCTTCAACGGTTTGTTCTTGACTTTTGGAAAGTCAAGGAGAAGAGAAAGGTAACAGGTTATATGAGAAGATCAAATATGAACTATACTGTACTGACTGTGCAGAAGGCATCAATATTAAACAAAGAAAAACCCTCCAAAAAACGTTTGAACTTTTTGCTCCTATGGCAAAATATTTTGGCAAGAGATCCAGTATGCAACTTGTGCTTCTAGAAAGACCCACACAAGTGGTGGGTTCATGCTCACTGCTTTCTCATGACAGCATGTCATTCTTTCTGCAGGAAGGTGTGGTGGGGCTCCTTTCCCTTTGTAACATGCCTCTCAGTGATGCTTTCCCCAGCCTCTTCATTTAAATTCTATTTCTCTATTGATCAGAGTAAAAAGACCTTGCCAAACCTAAGAGGCCTCCAATCTCCAAAACAAACACAACCATTTACCCCTTGGAAAAATGAGTATTAACTTGAAAGGTTTTAGTAAATACTTGTTTTATTTTGCCACAGTTAAGCAAATGCAGATGTGTGGAGGATCAGATCATAGCATTTTCATAGACACGAGTATAAACTTAGAGCAAGAGATACCTGTTGATTCATAAATCCTGATTTGAGGTCTGTCACTACCGTCAGGTTTCCCAAAAGGAGCTGAGGAAGAAAGAAACAACTCGTTGCTACCTCGGCATTGCCACGCCAGCAAGCTCCATCCGAGGGGAGTTCTCTCTTGTCCTAGAGTACACACTCCCAGCAGCTGACAAGCTGGCTTTCATTGGCTTGACACAGAGATGCACAAAGGCTGAAGTACACACGCCAGGAAGCAGCCATCCCAATGCCATGTAACTTTCTCCCAGTCCTTACGGCCTCTTTCATCTTATTTTCAAGCTTGGTTCTTTTCACCGGGTACTCCTTTATTACCACAGCCTCACTGGAACTGTCTCTTTCAGCACATAAGCACTGCTTGCTGCTTCTTGCCATGACCAGAACTGACAGTCCCTTGAAGGTACAAAGGAACGTGTGAAAGAACAGCAATGGAAAAAGGCAGGTTTTCAAAACTGAACGAGAAAGGAGAGGGAACCATCTCCCTCTGTGAGATCTGTGGCAGGATTTGTTCACTGTGTGTCAACAGTCCTAATTCAGTTGTTGCATTCTTCGAGCTGCTGAACTTGTCATCTTACAGTCCAGTTTTAACCATCAAGAAGCTATTACATCCGTCTCCATTTTCTTTTGTTCATCCACCTACTGATCCACTCCATAACTGAACAAATCTGATCCTCTTCCTGGCCTCACACCCACATGTTTTTAGTAATTGATGACTGCTAACTTTGGAGTGACTCACTGCCTGGTCAGCCTATTTGCTGTATATTTACCTAGTTCATCTCTTAAGGCACCATCAACACAAAAAAATATTTTGTAAAACTCCACCAGACCTGCTTTTAAAATAGTAGTGTATCCGACACTTGTTTCGGTTTTGTCCAGAAAGATTACAGACACAAAATGTTTACTTAACAAAAGTGTAAGAGCTGAAGGACCACATTCCCATAAATGCCTGTCTTACGAAGGCTCACAGTCCTCTGGCTCTTCTCCAACCACAGCACCTTCCTCATTTTCCTCGTGTTTAGTCTGAGACTTCTGCAAAAGTCTGGGCCCTGCCAAGCCAATAACTAAGGCTCCAATGGGAGCAGTGATTAAGATAGCCAAGAAAGCTACTGTTAGTACATCCATTCCATACTTTTCCAGTTGCTCATCCTGATGACTTCTTGCTGTATCCAGGGCAAGGGAACCTATTGCAGCCTGCAGGAGAGAAAGGATTGCTGAAATGGAGGAAGGAATCTTCCTCAGCGAAACAGGAAAAAAAAGGGACTAATCATCAGTCTATGCTTAACATAAATTAAAAATCTGTAATTCATTCAAGCTCCTTAGTTTCTAGGCAGTATACAAAACAGTAAGGGTTCTATCATATCTATATATGAACAATTTCCATTTGGCTATCTGAATTTCCTAGGCAAGTGAGTCAATGTGAGTGGCTCCCTCTGGTGAGGAGTGTGGCTTAGCTGACATGTTATCCATTTCCGGAGAACGTGTAATTAATGAAATAGGCCAGCACACTGCATATTGGAGCTGTTAAAATCCCATACCTTGAGAATGTGTCCTGACAGCAGTCAAAAGTCAGCAGCTTTGCAAAGATTAGTTCACAATTCTTGCAGTAATCTCTGCCTGTTCCTATTATTAACTTCTGCTTACAAACTACCATGCTTTTGAGGCAAAGTCCAGGTGATGTAACAATCACTGAGCAAGAATGCAACCAGCCTGAGGCTTCTCTAGCAATAAGCCTGTCAGGCCAGCCGTTATTAGAACAACCATGAAATAAAAACCCATTCTGAGCCTCAAGTGCAACTGTGTCGGTGAACACTTTATGTGGTATTAGAGAGAAACACTTTCAGACTTCAAGAGTTCTCAAAATCTGTATGTAAAAGACACAATAATCTGCAGAAACTGATAAATAGTTATTCTGTGATTAAGTATTTACATGTACATTCACCATTATTACTGGGAGTATGACCCAGGATGCAAGCTAAAAACCCTCCCATGGCAGGTCCCCCATGGCCTTTTCAAGCAGACTTAAGACAGGGCAGTTCAGAATATGAACTGTCCACATACCGCACTCTGCTGTTAACAGGGACCCAATCCTCTCCCTGTTTAAGGCTGTGCTAGTGAAGAAGAGCTTTGCTAAAGACTACAGATCTAGCCTGGAATGCAGATGATGTTGGGCTGTTTTACCTGCACAGTGGCTTTGGGAATCCACGCCAGTGAGACGAATACTTTCTCCTTGAAATTAAACCCAGCAAAACACACCATCAGGAACGTCGCAACGATTCGCACAACTAGGGCAATACCTAGTGTAGCTACACAGAGCCCTGAAACAAAGACAAGTGCTTCTCACTATTTTTGTGCATAGGTGCCTGAGGGAAAAAAGCCTTCTAAAGTCACAGCTTTACAGTGATTCCAGTATGTTGGTTTTCGACAGCCATACTGCTTTACTTAAGATTTCTTTCTGGAGATTCTTTGGAAGCTAGAAATAAAATTGGATAACTAGTGACAGATCTTACCAACAGTTTCAGGCCTGAGAGATGTAACAGATACTTCGGCTCCGATCAAACCAAAAAGAAAAGGTTGAAAGATATTCCAAGCAATGGCAACAATTTTTTCTACTTCCCTCTGCAATAGTAATAATAATAATAAAAAAAAAATCCATCAATTCACACACATACACAAAACAACCCAAACAGCAACAACCAAAGCAGACACATTTAATTAATCAAACGACAAAATGAAAACTTATCATAAATACATTCCAGAATTGTTTTTTAGATTCCTAGTTTATGGTGAACTTTGATCTAATACTAAAGCAATCTGTAGCCTAGAGAATGAAAATAAAGCACAATTGATTTTCACTGTTTAGGAAGATGCAATTTCAAAAGTTTTGCAATGAAACTGATTAGCTTTTGGGAATTGCACGCTCAGACTTGTTCCATTTGTACTTGAGCAGAGTCAGACCCTGAGAAGTTTTAGTAATGCCTACTTGCACCACACTCAGGTAGAAACCAATTTCCACATGAGCAGGAGCTAGATTGGGTAAGCCTGAAATCTCTTACTAATGAAAAACGCTGAATGTCTCTGTGTGATTACTGTATGACTGCAAAACCATCTTCTCTCTTTGTGCTTGAACTTTACACCTAGCGCTTTTCCTAAAGCAACCTGCTGCCAAAGTAAACAGGAATCTTCCACTCAGTTGAAGAGGTACATGTAGCATCTCTAACACCACTTTTTAAAAGAAGTGGTTCTGCAATAGCAGATGAACATGCAGGCTGCAGTGTGTGAGGATGCAGAGCCCAGGTGTGTACTGTCCCTCACATTCTCTCTGGACTGACCATTCAACATGGCAGCACCTCTGGCTCTTCTATCAATGGAACAGTGAGATAACTGCAATACAAAACCTTACATAACCTTAAAGAGAATGAGGTGGAAACACACAGACCTGTAAACTTTTTTATTTGCCTCACTTCTCCCTGCTAACTTACTCTGCTTTCTTTTTAAAAAAATAATAAAATTCTTTCCAGATGTTTACTTCTCATTTAACTACTTCAGCAACAGGTACAATGTCCCTTGTTCTCTGCTGATGCTATTTGTTCACTTCCACCAGAGACAGCACCGGTGGCCTTTGTGATGCTCAGCAGGAAAATGTTGGTAACACTGAGTATTCAGTAAGCAGATCTCTCTGGCTGCATCTGATAAAAAGAGCTAAGGTGTTTGAAATCATCATCAAGCAGCCTCTCCTACTGATCAAAAGAATTTAAACTAAGTAGGTAGTTATGGACTGCATACGCTTTTGTAAGGACTCCCCTTCAGAAGTGGCTTAAAAGCCTTCAACAGTGAGCTTTATGAGCTTTAAGGTTTTTAACTATTTCAAGCCTCAAGTTTCCCCTCTTTTAAAACTGGACAACAATGTAATATTTTAAATAGAAACCATGGTTTCTTATTTGTTATTTTAACAGATGGAGAGATCGTACCGAGGTCAGGTTCTAGATGGGAATAATAATATATCCAGTCCTCTTTCCTTTCTCCTCCCTTCTCTTACTGCATGCTGCAAGGCTACAGATATGAAAAGGAAAATCGCCCTCAAACATTAAGTGCAGATGGTATCAAGAAAAGGGGCAGTGAGACATTCCAAGATACAGAAAATCAGCAGGGCAAAAATAGCAAGAAACAGGCTTCATAGCTAAAAGAAAGTGGCTTAGAGACAGTCTTTTGTATGGTTTCTGAACAGCTTTGTATCACCACTTAGTGTGGGCACTCTGCTCTCTGGTTATGCAGACTTGCTACGAATTGGGGAAAGCAATAAAATGGTTAATTACTGCTTTCCATTTCACCCCCTAAAAATCACAGGGAACAAAAGCTCAGGATATTGAGGCCATGTTCAGAACTGTATTTGGACATCTATTATTAAAACTTACCTTTAAATGACTGTGTAAGGCTACAGAGACTGTCACAGAGCTGGGACTAAGCTTCAGATTCCTCATCAAGTGCCATGACAACTAACCTTCCTTTACAGGGCTTAAAAGGTATTGCACTGATGTTTGAGAGAAGCTCGTGAGCATTTTACTGTCAGTATAACGTTACCTCATCCACATACATGGTAACTTTCTGTTACACTAAAGATTAGGAACAGTTCTACATTTATTTTCATAATCTGTACTTCCCATGAATCTACATAAATGGGCCACTGCCACTCCTGATGGAAATCCAAACTTCTGCTAAGCTGTGCATTCAAAGGAGTTCTGGTATGTTGTGCATAAACATTCACCTTTTCCTCGGACCATCCCATGCCAGCAATAAAAGCTAAGACTAATGTGCAGAGCCCTCCTGATCCAGGGAAGCCAAAATAGACACTGCCAAAAACAGCAAACATGGACAGTCCAAGCACAAAATACGATCTCATCCATGACAGAGATGCCTGCAAGCAAGCAAAGAAAGAAACAAAAAAAAAAGTAAATTCATGTCTGGAAATGGCGAATGTTTACATCTACTAATTTGAAGCTAACAGAGGGCACCATTGTGGAGGAATCAAAACTTTTGTTTGAGACTTGAACTATGCAGTTGAGTTAAGGAGTTCTTTGGGACACTAATTCCTAGCAAACTATAGTTCTGAAATGTCAATATTTCTTTTCCTCTGCCCATCCAAAACCTTACTGCCAAAACACTTTTTGCATAACAAGGAATATGATGCTCTATTCTAACCTTCCTGCTTCTAGGCTATGATAACAGCACCTCTACCATGAAGAGCCGGAGCTTATCCAAGGAGGGGTTAGATCATTGCCACTAAGTGTTTTTAAGGACAAAGGCAGTTTCACAGCAGTTATATCTCTGTGTTTCCCATGTCTAGTTATCAGTTGATTTCTGTGCCGCATTTCCATGTTATTTAATAAGAAAATTTGGTGCCACTGATGGCAATAGCTGTTGTTCAAACTGATTTCAGTATCCAGACTATATGCTTTCTTCTACAATTTTGTTTGTGTAGTTACCCTTGATAGTAAATTCATCTACCACTTTATATAAGCTTAATTATTAATGAAAGCACCATTCTAATTAGTGTTGATAATATCCCAAGCGTGTGATCTGCACATTTCTAAGATGTTTCCAGTAGGCTAAAGATTAAAAATGAGTGGAGGTAAATATGTTGCACATCAATTCAATCATTATTCTACTCATACTACTCAATAGGCATCAGATCCTTTTCCCTTTCCACGTGAGCATTTCCAACACCTCTACCACTTGTGGGTACAGGATTGTGAACTGGGTTCCAGGCTCTCCATCAGGAAGGACTGTGACATCATACACTGCTATTGTTGCAGTACACAAACAGCCATCCTTAAAACACTTCCTTGCTTTGTAGGCTTTGCAATTTAGAAGCTGTTAGAGCTGTACACTGCTTTCTCACAAAAGGTGTCATATGAAGTTTGAAAATGAATAATATAAAAATGGCATTTATAAACAAAGAATATCTTACATAGCGCAATTTTAAACAAAAACTTTTTTTTTTTAACCTGATCATGGCTTGGGAAATACCGAACGAACACTCCCAGAATCCCACCAGCTGCTATGCCAACAGCAACCTCCAGCACTCCTTGGAGCACATTGTACAGAGTGGAACCTATTTGGCAAAAGAGAAGTGTGTTAGAATCATAGAATCATAGAATCACCAAGGTTGGAAAAGACCTAAAAGATCACCCAGTCCAACCGTTCACCTATTCCCAATAGCTCCTACTAAACCATGTCCTTCAACACAACATCCAGCCTTTCCTTGAACACCCCCAGGCTCGGTGACTCCACCGCCTCCCTGGGCAGTCCATTCCAGTGCCTGACCACCCTTTCTGAAAAGTAATACTTCCTCATGTCCAGCCTGAATCTCCCCTGCCGTAGCTTGAAGCCATTCCCTCTGGTCCTATCACTAATGGCACGAGAGAAGAGGCCGACCCCCAGCTCACTACAACCTCCCTTCAGGAAGTTATAGAGAGCAATGAGGTCTCCCCTGAGCCTCCTCTTCTCCAGGCTGAACATTCCCAGCTCCTTCAGCCTCTCCTCATATGGCCTGTGTTCCAGACCCCTCACCAGCTTTGTTGCCCTCCTTTGAACACGTTCCAGGGCCTCAATATCTTTCTTGCAGTGAGGGGCCCTAGTTACCCTAAAGTTAAGTTAGTTAAAGTTACCCCTAGTTACCCCAGTTACCCTAAAGCAGAACCTTCACTCACAAACCACGCTGTATATCTATGGGAATGATTTCAGTATGGTCTCTGCTCTAAATTAGAGAGCGGAAGGAACGGCCTCAGGAGAGAACCCATGAGCCTGCAAGAACTGGAAAGTGCAACTTTTGTGCAACTCTTTGCTTATGCCAAGAAAGTGTGCCAAGGAAGTCAGAGAAAAAAAAAGCACTGCTAGAGCACTGTCAAACCCAGGGATACTTGAGACCATTTATACTGGGCACAAGGGAGCTGGACATGGCAGTTATGGAAAAAAAACAAAACTGTTTTCTGAAAGCTGTGATCCACACCTCAGAGTAAATGAAGTTACACCAACACTTTTGATCATGGGTAACTTCTCTGTCCATACTGAACTCCATATCTAAACCTCATGAGGAGCTGTCATTAAGATACAAACCAGTCAATCATAACAAAGCACACATTCCTCAAAATATCACAGTTTGATCTGGTTGTCACCATCTACAGATTAACTCGCATACCAGAAGAGAAAGCCATCCCAAGGCAAGTGTTGAAGCCTGTAATAGCCAGAATGTCATCAATGCTTCCAGCTGCCATTAGCAAAGTTGGGACACCTTTCTCCACTCCATATCCCCCAGCTTGTAAGATCAGCATTGAGGGAACTACAACAGCAGGAGAGACTGCACCTAGAACAAAACTGAAAACACAGGGTTTCAGCCTCTCCTAAATAGCAAGCACTAAACTGAAAAGCTTCAAAACATTATGATCTCCCTTCTAAATTTTAAGTACACAGACCTGCACATAAAATATCCTTACCTCTCCTTCCTAATTACAAGCATGGATATTTCCCTGCAGATCCACAATCACCTCTTACTTCCTGTTCACCAAAATAATATTAAAAATCAAAGGCTCCACAGGCTAAGAATTGACTCTACACTGCAGGCCAGTTCTCTCTGATACATGCCTTGACTACCCACTTTAGGAACCTGGTCTAGATGCTCATGACTTGTGAGTTCCTACTCAAAATTCAGTGTGTGGCAGGAGAGAAGTTCATTTATCTCCTTCTAGTATACAGTCTGGAACTGAGTCCACCAGTTTAGATAGAACCTAGATGGAAAAAGTTTCCTCTTCAAGGATATTACCCCACAGTGTAACATACCATGTCCTTATTTTCAACTTGTGGTAGGAAGACTGTTCTGTATAAATTTCTCAAAGTGGAAATTCTGCATTCCAGCACAAACTTGTGGTATCATTTTCTGTCCCTAAAAGCCCTCTGCCTTGTGGCTAAAGATCCAGGGATTGCACCATCTTTCTTCCTTCTATAAGTGCCCAGATCACAGTCAGAGAAGAGCAAAGACGCAAGTACTTCTCTACATCTGTAAATGTGACCTTTAAATTAGCTACAGAGCCAGACATGAATGGTAAGCAAACAGCCACAGGGGCTAAGAACAGCTTGAGGTGCCTGCTTGGCAGGGAACTAACTGCATGTGGATCATCTAGCTGTAACAAAAAAGTCATATAGGACAAAAGATGGTACGTTACCCTAATATAAATCCCCACTGCCACGGCAAATGCATGAGTAAATAGGCAAAAACAGCAGCTGTGCATGTTTCCGAAAGGCATGGTCCAAAAGAAAGCCGTAAGCAGACTGCTTTGAGCTTCCTAAGAGCCTACAACATAAAAGCAAATTCAGCCATTAGTACCAGTACCTCTGGCTTCATAGAGAGCAATAACTTTTATGACCTGACACCATTTATTAAAATAATTCCCTCTAAGTTGAAGTATAGGATATGACAGTTTTACATGGCTTATGCCAGAGATAGGCTCAAGCAGAAGTGGATTTGGATATAAAATTGCATGTGAGGCAGTGAAACCCAACAAATCTGTGTTAAATGAGGTTCCCACACTTTGGCTTCTTGTGCAGAGCAAACAGTTCTGGAGTGGCTGAGGTAACTACAGTTCATTTGAAGAGTGCACTCTCACCGCAGCCATCTCACCCACAGTTGCTTGACGTAATTTTCACTGTCCACAGAAGTTTTTGCTATCATCCCACAAGTTGCATAAGCAACCCAGAAATAATTCCAAAGTCTCAACAAATCAGAACATTTTTACGTAGAGCTACATAAAGTTGGAGAAAGAAGCCATGCACTACTTTGAGCTGTTTCTCACTTGATATCCAGAGTAGATTAAATTCTACCTGCCTCTGCAACTTCTACCCAAAAACTTCACTGAAAGAGAGTATTTGCTTGTAAAAGTAGCTTTTATTAGTTTATCCCGAACATGATTCTGCCAGGAGAAGTCCCTAATTTTGATATGGATAAAAACAACAAGTTGCAGTTTATCCCAGCATAATTAGGGCTGAGAATCACTAGAGCAACTGGCATCTGACTTCACAGCTTCAGCTACACAAGGAACAGTTGTAAGCACATCAAAGCATTGCTACATATGGAGTCCAAACGACAGCTTCGATTGCCACATGGGAGACAAATGAGACAGAGATGAAGTTCCTCTGGCCAAAAAAGATGTGGAGTAGAAAAAAAAACATTGTCACCAAACTGGGCACAACTCACAGGCTGTGCTAATACAAGTGTCAGTACAAGTGTCAATACCTTCATAAAAAGGACAAATAGTATACTTAGGAAAATCATTTGTTCAAGAGTGACAAAACCTATTTATCTAAAAATCTGAAAACTGGAAACACTGTAATTTTCATCTTGGGTAAGAAAATCAGATTTATTGACCTGAGCTAGCTATCCCTACACTAAATTTTATATAAGCTTTAAACAGTCATTTAGACAGGGGTAAGTATGGTACAGCTTTATCTCAGACAGCTGATTTTGATCAAGCAAACATCACAATAATTAATTGAGGGAATATGAAGTTTACAGTGCGTTGAAGAAAACTATTCTGTTCACAGAAGCGTTATGGGCTTCACAGTGACGTGAAACACTGCTTCTGTAGTACAGGCAGAATCATCTTCAGGATTAACACATTTGCATAAAACGTACAATGATTATAGAAAGAGAAAATAAAATAGCAAAAAAGACAAAGAAGATTTTTGTTTGTCTGATTTGTGCCAGCACAAACAGCATGCTCCTTCTGGGATGTGGATTCCCTTCCTTACTTGTTTTAGTTTGTCACAGTAAACTGACAGGGACATTGCTAGGCAGTATAAACTCTTCCTGACAGACTGTGATAGAATGCATGTCCCCATATGCCCTGCTCACAAAATTCAGGAAATTTCTTTAGGATATGGAGGATACATAGTCATAAGATCAGTTTTCTTCAGGTACTTTTTTGACTGCTCACCAACACTACAGATCTACCTGACAACGTTGATTAACATGTGACTACACAGCAGGAATTGTGCTTTTTGTAATGCTCTGATTTTCAAGTCTTCTAAGACCAAACAGTCCAATATTTTTAACAGAATCAGTGTCATACTTTGCCTTACAGAGTAGCTGGTGCCATACCTTTGGATCTAGACCAAGTCCTGCTCGGGTCAGGATAATTGAAAGAGCAATATTCCTCAGTGCGGCAGACCAGCGCAGATTTATCTGGACAATGTCACTAACAAACGGGGTATTTCGGATGAGAAAACCAGCAAGAAGCATCCCTTAAATGAAAGCAAACAAACCACAGTCAAATGATCTATTTGACTGCAGTAGAAGTTTATCTTGAATTTTAAAAACTTGACACAATAGGATGTATTTCTAAGAGACAACAAAACAACTCCTGCTCTGTTATCATTAGCCTTGTTTTAAAGATGGGAATGTGAGAAGATTAAGATGTTTAAAGCAATGGAAGTGGTCTAGAACATACCAGGTCACCAATGAGCAAATCTGTGAGATGCTGAAACACAACTCAAACAAGAAATGACAGAATTCTACTTTGTTCACCAGCTGCAGGTCATGCTTACCATGAACAAAACCACCTCCGGACCTTTAAAGATATATTTTTTGTTAACTTTTTTTTTTTTTTTTTTAAATATGAAAAGAGGAGGGTAATCTAATATTAAGTATTCCTCTCATAAGTTGGAAATGGTTTTTAAAAAATCCTGTCAGAAATGCAGGTATCACACGAACCATAATGCTGAGGTCACTGGAACATCTAATCTAAATCATCTAGTCATGGTCTAATTTGGAGATCTTAAAATGCTCAGGCAATTCAACTTTTAAGCAAAGGAGAAAGCAGGGGAAATAACAGGAACTTGCACTTATCCTCTATTTGAGCTAATTGCAAGATCCAACCTTTTGCAAATATTAACAAGGCAGATTAATCAGGGATTTCTTCAAAGCTATCAGAACTAGAGATACAGAAAAGTACGGACATGGTAACTATAGTTCTGTAAAGACTCGTTGTAGGTCCCCACGATTCAAAGATACATTTTTTTGTGGTATAATTTCATATTAACCATGTTAATAAACCAGAAACCAAAAGATGAAAAGTAAACTCTGTGCTCAGGTTGGGCACAGCTTGGTGTGTTTGCCTGTAAGCCTTGGCTGCAGAGCTGGTTCATCCTGTAACACACTGCTCTGCCCACCCCTTCCCGGAAAAAAAAAAATTAAAAAAAGAAGAAAAAAAGTGGCATAATTAGTCTGCAGTCCCTTGTGACATTTGTGTCAATGATCATGTGGCTCTTTGCACTTTTTTTGTGCGTGTGAGACATCCATTGACTGGATCTACCCCGATCTAGAAGATTGCTTATCAGAGAAAAAATACACCACCTTAAAAGATACCCTCATCATTCTGCTCCATGTTGCCAGCAGAACCTCCAAAGTGTATCTAAAATATAACACGTGACCATTTCTGTAGCCACATCCTTCCCCCTTACTCACATAGAGGCTCACTATAAGGTGCACAGAGCTGAACGAGCCACAGTGCACCTAGCAGAAATGAATTAAAGAGTTCCTACACAAGAGTACGAGACTTACACTCTTAGTGTAAAGATCAGTCAAAGACACAGCGTATTTCTTCTTCTGTCTCTAGGTTGCTCAGTTTTCCTCAAAGACCACGGATCTGAACAATTAACTCAAACCTAAGCAACTCACCACACATATACCATCATGCTTAAGTTTCACTCAGGCAAGCAGCTTCACGCGCAACTCAATTTTTAGATACGGATTAAATTGAAGAAAGCAGAACCCAAATGGTCAGATTTTGGAACTTGGTGATCCTTGAGGTCCCTTCCAACTCAAGCCATTCTGTGATTCTATACGACTCTGATTTTTTTTAAGGTGTTTACTTATTAAGGGCCCTGCTTTTGTAAAGCCTGTGTTACTGTGGGCAGCCATGCTATATGCAAAACTTCCCTCCCTCTTGTTTGAATCTGTTCTCACCTGTGGAACACAGCAGTACATGAATACACACACTGCCCAAACAGTGCTGCAAACAAAGCCATCCAGCCCTTCTCCTGTCAGAGGGCCCACTGTGAGAGACTACAGTAACAGTTAATAATAATAATAATAGCAAGTTATTTATCACTTCAAGGCAGAGCAGGCTGCAAATGCCTCCTGTAGTGCCTTGAAGTTTTCTCTGTATCAACAGCTCGACTCATGTATAGGCTCAGCATAACAAAGGGACCACCTTTTTCAGCTACTTTGGCATCAAAGTACTTCATAATATCATACTAATGATAGTCAAAAAGAACTAAGGGGAGGAGGAGCCTTAGGAACATATAGGTAGTTTCACCTGAGCTAGCCTGGGGGAGTTTTCTAACTTCTCCACAAGGACCACAAACAAGTCACATGAAAAAGTGGCAAATTTGGGCATTATAAATTTGCATGTTCCTAATCCAACCATGCCCAATCTGCAGGTGTCCCCCGACTGTTAAAACACCACAACCACACAGGAAGAAAAGAAGAAAGGGCATCTTACCCAGAAGAGCAGGGAGGGGTGGCAGTGTTCCTATTTTAATGAGTCCAAAAATTTTACCTCCAATGACAGCAAAAAAATAAAGACACAAAATTCCAAACAGGTTTCCACCTGGGAGACATTCGGGCCCAGTGATGGACCAAACCACAGCCCAAACCAAGACCACAGCGGCAACTGGAACAGGACAAGAAATATTAATATCTAATCATTTCCAACAAATAGAGAACCAATTTCAATATTAGGTCACATTTCTTTTTCTGCTAAGGTACCATTAACTCGCAGAAATAAAAGTTCTGTACCTTAAAAATCATTATATTTTCGTATTATTAATTTTAATATATTAATATATTTAATATTATTTTTATATATTTATATTATTTTATATTAATATATTTATATTTATATATTAATATATAGTATATATTTAATATATTTTTAATATAATTATAATATTAATCGTAACACTGTTTAATATTTGACACTCCTTAAGCCTATTTCTGATTTCATAGACGCTGAGACACTTTAGAAAATAGTAACAGGAAAGTCATTAGGGACCAAAAAAGACTGAGTAAACCAAAGGCCACTGTGGAAAGCATTTAACAGGTCCCAGACTTTTAGCATAGATTTTCACCAGCACTCATCTTGCATTTGTGCTATCTTCCTTCAGCTAAGTAAAAATTGCAGCAGGAACCTGCTGTGCCTGATACGTCTTTGAGCTAATGACTGCAGTTCTGTTTTCATTAATATCTCATTTTTTGGCTAGATATGTTTGTGCATCCCCGGGAGACAAAAATCTGAAGGTGATGTCTCTGGGCAGCCTAAGGTAGTATAAATTAACACAGAAAACAAAGAGGGAAAGCTCCTGAAAAGTATTACAAAAAATATCTGAAAATATTATAAAATATGTGAAAATAGTATACTCTTTCCAGTTTCCCAAATCTGTTCCTACACTAACACAACAAGAACAGGCATGAATAGACATAAAGGCAGAAGAGCAAAGCAGAAGAAAAAACTTGCTGAATAAATTGCCCTTCTTGTAATCACATGAAAATAGAATAGAATATAGAATGATTTTCTATATCTTTAGCTACAGACTGTTAGTTTTCCAAACATAATGTCTAAGAATCACAAGCGAGAGAGAATAAAGGCTGTGGAAGCAAAGCCACAAAAAATATCTTATGTTTGGAAAAGCCTGAAATAGTTGGTTAGCTGGGCATTCTGTTCTGGGAGCTTAGAGTGCAGGGCAAATCTTAAATAGAATGAGTCAATTTGCCTTGGAGTTATGAATCTTGGCTTTGCAAGCCTAGGATAATAAGTACAGAAGAAGGTATTACTGCAAAGTCTCATTTTTGGTGCCTTAATTCAATGGAAAGCCATCTAGTTTGTGGAAAATGCACTCTCTTCATAAACCATCTCAGTATACTCACACCAAAACTATGAGAATTAGGAAGCCTTCCTTCTACTCAGTTTAACTAAACATTTTGCATTGTCTTTTTCTTACTTACCATTTGTTACTATTCGAGACAGTAAACCCTGAGGAGGACAAGCAAATATTTGCCTCCATGTTCCTGCAGGTGCTGAAGACCCTGATATCGGTTCTGGAGGCTGCTGAGCTGAGTGATTCAATAGAGCAGTTTCTTCTGTTTGTATATTCCCATCAGCACCTTTGGCATCTGCTGTTGACCCTTCCTAAATGAAAACAATGAAATTATCTCAGAAGTGGCTCAGTATGTATTTGCAGTGACATACAACATACCTGCAATCGGTCGCAATACGCTGGATGCATCCTGTCTACTGATGGACAACATTAACTAAACAACTGCTGACTACAAGAAAGATTAGAGCTTTGTATTGGATTTGGCATTTTCCACTACGAGTCTGTTTTCATATGGCAGAAAGTTGTGCATATGAAAGACTGCAGGTCATTCATTTATTTACTGCTTTTAAATCCATTTCTGTGAAAGCTCCTGAGCCTATGTGCAGAGCACTTGTTCAGCAACAACAGCAGGGTATTTGATGAAAAAACATCATTAATGAACTGTGCCCAGTTCGTCTTGTGTGTGAGCCAAACATTCATCAACGTTTTTCACAGTTCGATACGTTTCTGCTTCTGCAGTGGATTCCACAATGAAGTAACACTCAGCATCATCCGAGCGAGGCACTATCTTTAATATAACTTGTAATTAACTTCTACTACAAAGCCTTGAACCAAAACAATCAAACCCACTTGTGATTATACAAAAATGAAAGAAACAGTGCAGATGGCAGTGCAAACATTACTCACACGATCCATAGTAGCAAGGCTCAAGCTGGTAAGTAGAGGCAGAAAAGAAGAAATGTTACCCCGGCAGATTCTTCCTTGAATAATGGTTTCTTGAGGCACAGAGTTTTTTAAAGCTGCTCTTTTATATTGATTCATCTACATACCCGAATTCATAACCAATATCCTTTTTGACCATTTTTGGATATGCATCTCCCTTCATTTAAGGGTCCTTATTTTTAAGAAATTAATCATCTTTCTTCCTCTAAAATTATTCATCTTTGTGCCAGCCCATTGTCATAGCGTGGACATGGAACTCTCGCCCATGCTGCGGTTTGGCCTTCATCCAGTAGCAGTTCCACATTTCCCATTATTTTTCTCTCTTTTATATATATATATATACGTATATATATATATCCCTTACTCATAGTCACAGTTGGAACATCAAATCTTGTGAGCTTTCAAGCACGGGATTACTTGGTTTCCTATCCTGTGATCACCAGCTTCCCATATATATCTGGATACACCACAAAGTACTTGTCTTGTGTCAGTATCATGCACTTATCTAACTTAACGCAGTTTTCAAAACAGAATGTTTATTATGACAAATTCTCACAGAGGAAATTTCTCTCCACATTCTGTTCAGCATTTTGATGGATTCAGCAAGGAAAGAGAAAGATTCTTCTAAATAAAGCTGCAATTTGAAATGCTAATTAATTACCTCACTTTTCTCATGCATGGGAATCATGCCATTTCTCTCACATACTGATGGTTCAGAATCTTCATTCACCGTATCTTCCTTCACCATTGTGGCAAAGCTAATGAATGCAATAGAGGTAGAAAACTTAAAGAAACAGGTAATAGCATTTTCCAGAGGCAACGCTTTCCTGTAATACTATTATTAATATTAATGTGAAAAAGCCCTCAAAGCCCTGTTTGGAATTTAACATCCTTTGCATGCCTGCATATGCTATATATAAGACAAAACACAGAAGCTAATAAAAAAATAGTATTGTTTGCAAAGTCAAGCACTAAAAAAAATTAAGTTTTAGAATCACTGTGTTTTGCGCAAACACATTATGCACTCTGTGAGAGTATGGCTGTAATATACACCTATATATTTATGTCTTCTATAAGAACAAGAGAAAAATCACTTACTGCCAATATCTCTTGCCAGGACCACAAGCTCTGAAAGTGTCACAAAACGTGTGCACGTGGTAAGGAAAGTGACCATTTCATATAGATAGTAAGCGTAGTTTGTATAGCATACCCACAAGGGACACTTTCTTCCCAGCTAAAAATCTGATCAGATCCTGCTTGATTTTTAGTGAAATTTTCAAGGAGATGGTCCTGTTAGGCATCACCATTCAAATACACTGATTGAGTATCTCAGAAACAGAAAATGTTTGCTTGACTAGAGATCTAAGATACACCCAACTTATTCTTGGGCAAGACTAAGAAAAAATAGCTCTTTGTTATTGCTCATAAGCCACAGAGATCATTCTTAAGAGTGGAAAATTCTTGATTTGAATGCAGATAATCATCATTGTATTTGCTCTAACTAGTCAATTTCTGCTGATACGTCGATGTACTAAATGTTTTGCGTGCATGTGTGTGAAAATTTACTACAATTCCACAAGTCTGTGTCAATAAGAGTTACACTCACAAGACTTGGTCGCATTATTTGTCACAGTAACTCCACACCAGTGGTAACAGTACTTTTCTTGAAGTCCGTTTCTCAGGCCCCATAAGCCACTCAAGTTGTGCCAAAACATTTGAGCCAAAAAATTCCCTCCTTGCTGAATTGCTGGAAGCAAGTCAGAGACCTGATTCTCACCATTATCAAGCCTTCAGTTCATAATATCTTTGAGATCTGCAAAAGATTGATGCCTTGAACATAGGCAGGGGCTGTTTTAACACTTGGTTAATTTTGTTTGAGCTGTTCTGGTATGAAACTGGCTTGACACAGCTAAGACATATAGAAAGAATACAGAAAGACAGTATCAATGTGTTCTAGTGTAATGGTTTTGCTATCTCTCCCCATGGCATCCGTACGTCACTCTAATTTTGAAAGATGTGCGTGTGCTGGATGGGTAAGGGATAATATAGATTGTTCTCATACATGTTTGCATGGGAGATGATCCTAGTTCTCAGGGTCAGACACCTGTAGACGTGAAATACATTGATACGCACAAGGAAGAGGAGCCCACCTCCCAACAACTTCAGGGCCAGCACGCACTGTTTAAGTAGAGTAAAGGAAAGAAAAGACTGCAAAAGGAAATCTGCTTAGCAGGGATTTTTCCAAGGTAGAAATCAATGTCTCAGACAGCGTGAGCTTGCCCTTGTTTGTTGTGTGACAGACCTTCAGCCTTGGTTTTTGTTTTATAAATTTCCTCTGGACAGATTTCTTTGCAAATAAAATCAGATGGACTGAAGAAAGGCGGAACAGAATTCATACTCCACTGTTAAGGCCCACACTGTGGAAACTGGAAACCAGCCAGCAACATGCTTGTTTCACTACAGCCGTCTGAAATATACCTCCCTTGGCATGAAAGAAGAAAAGCTTTTTTATTACAGCTGTTGTTAGACCTTCTTATTTTATTTGTTTTGAATAGGAAGGAATTCGAAAGAGAGGGAAAGCGAAGCTCCAAAGATGACTGATGGGAAGCATGTGCTTGCCGATATTTTTAGCTCTATTGCCCTGGTGACCGTTAGCGCTATTCTGTGCATGCACACGAAGTGCAGCAGGCTCTGCCAAGAGCCACTAACGGCCAGCATTAAAGCAAAGCGTCAGCCCCAACCACCCGTCACCCAGAAGGCGAAAGCGCACCCTGATGCAACGTCCTTCCCCGCCTCCCCAGCCCGCTTCCTCCCTGCGCGGCTCCCACCTCTCCTCCTGCGGCCTGGGCTTACCTGTGGAGCGGCGGGAATCAGAGCGATCTCACGTTCCCGCGCAGCCTCTCCAACACGCCGAGATGGCGATGCGCTCGACCACGCCCGGCAGCAGGAGCAGCCCGCTGCCAGCTCTGGCTCCTCCTCCTCCCCTAGCTAGTGCAGCACGATGCCTCCGCTATCCACAGCTGCACCAGGCAGGCTGCAAAATCGTCCAGCTGCAGGCAGGAGGGACCCGAAAGGCTTGCCGGGTGCCGTCTTCTCCTCTCGTGCCGCGCGCACCAGGCGGCAGCTTTGTTTGAGCCGCGGAGCAGCCCCGAGCCCGCAGAGCCCGCAGCGCGGGAGAACAAGGGGAGGAATTGCATGGGGGAGGGCAAGAGAACCAAAGTGTTGGCACGTCTGTGGTGCTACCGTGAAAACATTCGTTTCGTAAAGATGCATCAAATACATCCGTCTCATCTGTGGGTGCACCTGGGGAAAGAGACAGCCCTTCTTCCTTCCTGTCGCTGAGTCACGCACTCGCACCGGGCTCTGTGAAAGCGGCTTCGATTGCAGCGCGTTGCTACTCAACTCCCAGCAGCGTTATGTAGAACTGGGCTGACAACGAATCTGGTTTCAGGGTTTTCTTTTGACCAGATTAAATCTTCCAGGACTCCAAGTGAGGGATTTAAACACTCACCTTTCCCGAAGAGAAAATGACCTAAAATTTGGAGTCATGACCCTCCTTATCATGTGAATGCAGTAGGAGGAAAGAAACAAGATTTCCCACAACAATTCAGGGAACACAAGAATATTAGAAAGGATTATCTTTTAATAATGCCAGTAAGCCTGCTTGAAAACACTCGATGTGTAGAGGCACATTTCAGACTTTTGGCTGTTAACACAACCCTGCAACACACACACACCGTTAAAGAGGCAAGAGACAGCAATCGCTGTTGGTGTGGTTATTGCTGTTTTTGTTTTTGACAACCAGCTTCACTGGAAAATGCCTGTATCTGTGCTTTCAGTACAATGTAGAAAGTGGATGCTATCTCCTTCTGTTGCAGGAGTGTTTTGTCTAAACAATATTTGAGTAGCGCCAGTGTATTACATTCACCAATGAGCTTAGAAATATTACCTGTTAAAGTTCTTTATGCAATCAGTAATTCATAATGATGAATTTGAGAGAATTTTCATTTTCAAAATAGCACAAACTTCCTGCATTGCTACAAGTGTGGAGATCCCCTTCCCAAGGTAAGCCCTTTATACCATCTACAGAAGGAGGACTTTGGCCTTCACCTTAACCTCTGCAAACACCGAAACAGAATCCTGTCGGCCTCAACTTTCAACATTTGACTTTACATCAGTGAGTAGTGGTGGAGCCGTTTTGGATAACTTAGGATTTTTGTTCCAACTTCATCCTGCTTGGCTGCTGAGGTCACCTGAATGAAATGCCAGAGAGCGTAACTCAAAATCCCACAGACAAACTACACAGGATTGGAACATTCCCACTACAATTAAAGGTAAGAGCTAAAGTCCATAACCAGTCTGAGGAAGCAGGCTCCACAATACTTCTCATTTTAAATCTGTAAGCAAACACACAAATTGTACAAACTGACTGATTGTACAAAGGCTGATTTGAACCAGGTATGTTCTTTATCTTTGAAATAGAATAATTTCTATTAATGCCTTACCAAACACTGAAGAACTCCAGTCATTTAAAAACGTGTCACTGTTACAAAAACGAGTACATGTTTTTCCCACTTTTTAATGACCAATAATACTCAGTAGCATTTATCTCTTAATTCTTCCCCTATATGTGTATGAGTTTCATACATATTTTTCATAGATATGAAAAAAACAAATGGCATATAGCTTCATTCTCAAACAAAAAGCCATATTTATAGGAATTCAGTCCATGTCATTCATGTCAATTTTAACTGTTAGTGTAACAGATAGTTCTGGAATTCAGATTATTCATTGCCTTAGGTCTTTGGGTCATGCTTTTTTTTTTTTTTTTTCTTCTTCTCAGTATGATTCCTTACCATGACAGTTTCCAATTCGTAAATCAAAGCTCCATTGTGCTACTATGATAAAAATATCAATACAAACTCTTGTAGATACAATCATTTTGAGAGAAGTTTAGTTTTAATTTTAGCAAGAACTATGTTTCTGTCTGAGAGTCAAGCAATGGAATATCTAAGCACAGAACCTAATCTGTAGAATTGATAATATTTGTCCTGTATTCGTACATTCACTAGTAAATCCTTCTGGGAGAGGAACATATTTGCTCTATCTAGAGTGGTAAAAATCTCACTCCTTTTGCTTTATACCAGAAGTAAAATACATTCTGGAAAATTCACATGTGTATCTAAGAACACTGCTTACACATATACGTCTATCAGAGTGATATTCTTGAATAGTGTTCTGCACATGAAAAACAGAAGAAAAAGATAAGATATTTTCAAAACCATTTTAAGAGTGAATATGCCACTAATGAAATAGTTTGGGGAGGTTGGTGGCCCTGCATGTGGCAGGGGATTGGAGATTCATGATTGAGGTTCCTTCCTATCCTGGCCATTCTGTGATTCTGTGAACAGCCATTATAACGATTTATCTTCTATCATCTCTGCTTCACAAAGACAATGTCTATAATCTTCATATGCCTAAACAAAAAACACTGTGGAACTACAAGGCAGCCAGTCCTACTGCTTCTAATGGTCATAGCTTTTTGGGCTATGATTTCTTGTTGTTCAAAATTCCAACAGTCTAACTTGTCCAGTGTATGGGAAAATGGATATGGTAGTTGCAGAAAACAGCTGTGCATGTACACTGACTCCTTACTGTATGTGCAGGAATTTCTTCTGCCCATGCACTGTAAATCCAGTGTCTCTGACAGTCTTGCACCTTCTATTCTGGATGTCAGTCTCAAGTCAGATTCTTTTCAACAGTCCAATACAAACTATTTTTCTATAGTCATTACTGTTTTCAAAAACCATCCTGCTAACGATAGAAATGAGCAGAAACAAAAGTCTGCAAAGCAGGATAGATTTTCAGGTATAATTTGCAAGATCTAGTGTGTTCTCTAAAAGTAGATGTCTGTCATGAGTAACAAAATCATTTCAACCTTCACATATACCACTTCTGCTTTCTTCTGTTGTTTAAAATTAATATTAACTTGATAATTTTTTGGCTGCTTTAAAAGTAGTCTGTTTTCTCTGGATAATTTCTTAATGCTGCTAAGAATTGTGAATGTTTAAATTCTAAATATTTTCTAGGCTGAGAATAATGATAGCATTAATTCCTTTCATTTAGATTTGCTTAAAACAAGACCGAGACGTAGAATGAGACCACATAACCATAAAAATGCACCAAATTTGTTCTAGAATACATCCTATAAATGATTTAAAACTTTGAAAACTCTTAACTGAGAAACATGATCCTCACTTTTTGCCTTTCATTGTATGGATTTCCATCTGCAGGTAGAGTTGATTACAGGCTCCATCCTCCATCAATGACAACTTCATTGCCAGTCATGTAGGCAGACTGAAATTACATAAAATATAGTATTTTTTTAAATGCTGTATTTTTCCACAAGTAAATGCTTTTTTAAAAAAATAAATATAAAAAATATACACTTTTTCATACTTTTTTTTTTTTTTTTTAAATAAGCTTAGAAACAGAAGCCTTTTGGCTAGCTCAAGGGAGTGCAGCAGAAGCACTATTAAAGGCAGTAAGACTAAAATACATCCTAAATGTGCAAATTCACATAAGATAGCCTTCACAGATTCCACCTGCAGGAATAATGTTTTACACTATGATGTCATTAGCTCCATATTTCATATTTCAGCTGAGCAAAATATGACTTAGGTCAACCAGTAAGGGGACCTAAATGAAAATTTAAATGACTTAGAATAACAAGGGGAAGAACTGAGCTGGAGACATCCTTTGCTGTATCCCATTCTGAAGCATACTGCAGAACTGGAATTCTGCTTACAGAAGATTACAGAAAACCATGTGACCAGACTGGAAAATTAGTAGCTTTACAGAAACACTGTTTGAGAACACTAGAAAGAAGATGAAAAGATTATGATAGGTGGAAACATCAAGACTGAATTAATTGCATTAAATTATTCTGCTGTGCCCAGCAGGATTGCTGGGCAAGTTCATTGGAACCTAGTTCAGTATTAGATCCATTGTGAATGTATAACATCTGAAATAAGCTTGATACGTGTTCATTAGTATTAATGATATTTGCAGTGAACATTTAGAGTTTGGTCTATGAAGACCTCAATTGTTCTATTGTTTTCCTTAAGCCAAAATGGTAGGCTTAAACATAGCATTAGACCTCTTAGATCAGGTCTCTCTCTCATGGGTCTACACAAGTATTTTCTCTTGCTTACCGCAAGCAGGTAATGACAGTACTAATTCCACTTCCTTAGGAAAATATCTAACTGCAGAGCAAACAAAACTTGCAAGAGCAGACAAGCCCATTTCTCCTATGATTCAGAATGATCTGGGGTCAGTCAGCTTTCTCAAATTACATGGAAAAAAACCTGACTATGGCACCAAGTATGTAATGCCTTAATCACTGTCAACATTCAGAGTAATTTTTGTATCAGTTTTATTCAGTAAAGTTTTACTCAGTAAAGGTTTGGGGGTTGTTGTTTTGTTTGGGAGGTAATAATCAAGCTCATAACAGATACAAGCCCTCCTGGAACAAATTCTCTTTACTGAGAAGAAGCAAAATAAAATGGGATTGTGACAGGAAGTGTTACTGTTCCAATACTTACTTCCTCAGAAGCCAAGTACACAAAGAGATGGGCCACTTCTTCAGCAGTAGCCATCCTGCCAATCCTCTGTCTGGCTAGGAAATCTTTCAGTGCCTAGATATATAAAAGCATTTGGTATGTTGAAAATATAAAATAATTCTTTTAATCCAAGTAGCATGTGATGTGTACAAAGCAATACTGGAAGCAAGCCATATGTTATAATTTTTAGCTTACTGGGTAGAGAGTGTGTGCTAGAAGAAGTTGTAACGGTCACTGTTGTACAGATTTCACGGACCTGAACTTCTGGTTGCAGAATAAAGCCACTGAAGCCCTTTCTCTTTGGTGGATGATATTCCCAGAGCCTTCAAATGAGTCCTCCCAGTCATTGAGTTAGTACAATTAAAGATCCCAATTCATTTTTAAACACATAGGTCAGAATGCCCTCTCTATCATTGTTTTGTACTGCTCTGTGTTTACTGCGCAACAGTGACCTTCCAAGGCACTTTAAGCCTCCCATCCTCAGCAGAAATTCACCAAGCTTTCAAAGACAATGCCACTGTTATATTATCCTTGGTACTCTAAGATAGGAATTTTCTTAGTTTGAGAAGTGCTGCAGGTTAGTTTTAGTAATTGAAAAAAGGATAAACATTGGTGCATACACGAACAAACTAATGAATTGTTTGCTCATGATATAGGCTGGTTGTTTAGCAATAGAGATCAGTATATTTAAGGACTGATGCATTAATTTCATAAAAGAAATCAGTGAACGCTAGTTCTGTAACTTCCCATTTCAACTTCGCCTGGTGTGTGAACAGCCTTGTTTAAAAACTGTCTGGATGTGGTGCTGTGAAAGAAACTGTTTTTTTTTTTTTGTTTGTTTGTTTGGTTGGTTTTTTTTAGGGACATGATTTAGCAATGGGTTGTTTGAGTTAGGGTAGGTATGGTTAGGGTGAGGTTGAACTTGATGATCTTTAAGGTCTTTTCCAACCCGAGCAATTCTATGATTCCCTCAATGGTCCTGCTTCATGAGAAGCCCTGGAGACAAAGTAGACTGCTTCTATCTTCGCAGCCACCAGGTACAAGAATTTATTCTTCAGATTTCTCTCATACCGTTTTGGATTAGAGCATACTAACATAGAAAGTTGCTCATTATGGGCTAACAAGAAATGGAAATTTGGCAAGTTGGGGAAATACTGCTGAGTTCAGCCAAAAGTCTCTGTGATGAAGCTGATGATGGAAAAATGGGGAGAAAGTAAGTGGCTGAAAACCAGCAGAGGCTGCTACCATGCATGCTCAGAGGGACATTAGCATATATTAAGGAATTCTTGAAAAAATGAATAGGCATGGAAATGTACTGTTTAGGTATGTCTTAACTGTTTGAACATAGAACTAGAACTCTGAGAGTGCACTTGTTTTGTCAAGTTGTCTGGTACATATCATGAGGAACAAAGGAATGCTGCTTTCTAACATATAGATATGAAAACATAACATATGAAAGTTCAAGAGTTTTCTTCCCTAATTTTGGATGACACTCACCTGATCTGGGTTGGGCTGGGCTTTGATTCTTTCCTGTAAAGATGGTGTGTCAACAGTTCCTAAGCAAAAATTGTAATTTCAAAGTTAAAGCTCAACTTCATCAGCAATCATAACAAAAAGTGCAGTTAATGGGTTCCATTTGTATGTCATAATACTGAAGTGTAACATCATAACGGAATGCACGAAAAGACTGCAAAACTATCAGCGTAGCCCACGAGCCTAAATTTCAATAGAAGATAAGACTTGAGAATTACATTCAGTACTTTTCAGATGTTTGAAAGATAGCTAGCCTGTTACGTAGGCACCCCCTGCTTCTACCTTGAGAAATACAGGTTTAACAATAAAAATACTGTGCTTCAAAATACTGTGATCTGTACATAACAAGCATGTGCTGGTTTAGCAAGTTAAGATTTTTAATTATAAAGTAACAAGTTTTCTATTTTGAGAGTCAGAAATGTTTCAAATACATCCTTTTTTCCCCCCTTAGTTTCTTGTAACAATAGTTGCTGCTTACAAATCTATTTTTTGCTAATAATGTCAAATTATGTTAGGCTGTATGCCTTTTATCATCCACTTGTATTAACAATGTACTGTAACAATACTTACCAGGACATACACAGTTGCATCTGATCCCTTGCTCAATGAAATCAGCAGCCACAGACTTTGTTAGACCAATAACTGCTGCCTTGGAAGTACTGTATACACATCTGTTCACCACTCCTACAGAAGGCCAGTATGAAGGCAGCACAGAAGCAAAACGAAATCAAAAAAGAACAGGGAGAAGTTTATTCAATATGCATCTGCTTCTGAACTGCAGTGTTTACTTTAGCTTGCCCTTGTGGAGAAGCTGTGCTAACTAGAATGCCAACTGCCAGAATTCTACTCAAGTACACACCAGAATAAAGCATAGGATTCTTCAATAACAGCAATCTGGGGAGTAGTCCAGAAAAAGTAACACTGCAAGCATACAAAGGATCATGAAGAGCAGAGTCTCCTCTTTTAGCCACCATTACTTTTCATTGGTAGTTATGACTGTATTGCTTATTGATTCATTGTTTCTCTGAGTAACATAAACAGCAAGAATCACTGAACAGAACTCTTTTCTCAGTTATTACATACTGATAAAAAAGATGCTACAAAACTTTCATAAGAGATTCAAAAGCTCATAGGCCATGACTTGACTGTTTCTGAAACTGCCCATGTGTTAATGTATATATATTTTTTTCTTCCTGCATTCCTCCTACATTTGCCAGCATCCTCTAAATTAAGAGCAGTGCAATATTTGTCACTGTTACAATTTTCTCACCTGCCACTCCCCCAAATATTATTATGCAGCTTTTCAACTTTTTTTCTTAAGTTTTTATACACATCACTGCAAATTATTATTACTGTTCTTAAGAAGACTGAAGACTTCATAGTACCATTGTGTCCTTGCAGTACCACTTCACTGCCCTCACTGTGAATAGAAAGTCAGATTTGCTCACTTCAGCTGCCCTAGGGAGTACTACATACTAGGGAAAAAAAACAAGCATGAACGTCTTTATCGTAGATCATCAGAAAGCAAAAATCAAAGCAAACACCTAGGCAACCTGAATAGAAGCAACCTGCACTGAACAGAGATAACAAGCATCAGATCCAACACAGTAGCAAACCTTCCTTTATCAGGAGGCCCTCTATTGTTACAAACCTTTGTTTTGATCACAAAACTTCATCTACAACAAACAAACCAGTATAATCCACTTCCTTTTACTGTAATTAAGCTGTAATTAAGAGCAACCCATTCTGTGTGCTGACTGTGGAATTACTACTGTACATAATTTAACTAGAGCATGCATCAGGAATACACACAAAAGATCGAAATCAAGGGCATTTGTTACATATATAAAAAAAGTTCTCTCTAGAACGGATATACAAATTTTTACAGAACACAGTGTCAACATGATAATTTAAGACTGATTTATGTAGGAATCACTGTAGAAAGCCTCTCACCTTTCATGCTGGATGCCACAGAAGACATATTTATAATATTTCCAGATTTCTGTTTAATCATCTGCAAAAGAACATTTACATCATTCAAACTGTTTTGTTATTTGCAGGCCTAGCAGAATAGCCAATAGCACCAACAGAATAGTCCTGTATACAATTGAAATGCAAGATCATGAGTCATAGGCATGAATATGTGCTCATTTCTTTTTAATTTGTTATCTGAAGTAATAAAACAGATTCTGAAACTATCACTGAGTACTCTTGCCCACCCCTAGGATTTACCACCTAACCAATTGACAGGATTATTGAAGTGACACAACTGTAGCTTATCTTGTTCCAATTCACATCAGATGGAGTGGCTAAGGCTTAAAAAAAAAAAAAAAAAAAAAAAAGAAGAAAAAAAAGAAAACCTTTGAAGTGTGCTTGTGTTATAACCTTTTCAGGCATCTCAAAACCTAAAGTGTCTAAAGCTATTATAAACAACCTTTAGAAATGAAGATTAACTAATAAAAGTAAGGACTGGAGCAACACTGGAGAAGAAAAAAAATCAGGCATCCAGTAATGGTCACAGCTACCTCTTTTGGCCTTTGCATTTACAGAAAAAGTTGCACAGCCATATGCTTATCTCAAATTGCAGTCTGTGACAAGCAACAACTTAAAACCCTCATATCCGATTGCAATGCAGAGAGCAACAAAGCCTCACTTTAGGAAGGAATGTCTTGATCATTAGATACATGCTGCGAACATTGAGGTTCATAGTAAAGTTCCAGTCTTGTTCTTCACAATCCAGAATGGTCCCATGATGAACAAACCTGGAATAAGTACATGATTACTGTGCAAGGTTTACATTTCTATGGCTTTTTATGCAATTCTGCCATTACCACTTTGTAGTATCCTTCCAATCCTGAAAACGCAGGATCGAGAGCCCTTTTGAAGGAAGTAGCAGTGTTTTTCATCAGATGAGTATCAGGGACACAAAGCAGACCAATGAGCAACAAAACATTTGCTAATAAGGAAATTAAAACACAAACACATTTAAAAAAAAGTGTTGTAAATCCACTGATTTTGCTCATTGTTGCAGAAGGAAGGCTAAATCCAACAGTATAGGGAATCCACAGAGTAGAGAAAACAGAGTAGAGAGCCATAATATCTTGGCCTGGGTAACATGGCCACAAAAAGTTCACACAAAAAGTTCAGTTTTGATGAAAATATATATTTTAAGGATATAAAGTGCATTACAACAACAACAACAAAATGGATTTAGGTAAAAGAAAGTTCTGGAAGATAGGAAAAGCTGAAAAAAGAAGTAGTATGAAATAGAAGACGGTTACCCTGCAATATTACAGAGGACATCTATCCTTTCAATTTCCTCTGCCAGGTCTTCTATCTCTTGCTTTTTGGTGACATCCAGAACCCGTATTTGAATGCCTAGAAAAACATGGTTTTAGTTTAACTGGTTTTGGCTAAGAATTCGTACTTTATTCTTCTCAAGTGCTGAGGACATTGCACCTCCCATTCAAACCCGCAGCTTGCCAGGAACAGACGCCTCTCAGTGGTAAGACTTGGAGACTTACTGAAAGCTACACTTCACGTGTGCAATGCTTAAAACAGGAATGGACAGCAGAGCATGGTATTCAAGATTTTAGAAAGGAATTAAAAATATATTAACTGACTTAACAGCCATGTAGTATCACACAAACAAATAAGCTAATGTAATGTGCCATACAAATCACTTCCTCCTGTAAATCTGAATTCCATTCCACTATATCCTCAAGCCAGGCAACTACAAAACTTGTATAATCCTAACAAGCTTTCATGCCCACTGTTATCAAATATTTACTACTTGGAACTAGTTACATGTCTCACAATCACATTACCCTCTGTATACATGTAGTTCAGAGTACTATGAAACAGATTAATATTATTTAATTAATGAGGAAAAACGATTTCATATAAATCATAGATAACTTTGGTGATGACACAGCTATCAAAATAGAAACAAAGAAAATCCAGCAGAAATCAGAATGAGTGTAAAAGGAGAAGTACTGCAGTACATTGCAGTAGTAGGTACAGTTAGGCTCCCAGGACACTACTGGGTTGCAGCATGGCCTTGGCATACCCTGCATCTAGGACTAAGAGACATCTAGTGCAGAACACTCAAGCTCCAAAAGATTTTAAAAAACAACAAAAAAAAAAATCCACCACCCACAATTTATTCATGTGCAGACAGCGGTGACCTACAGTCTAATAGAAGTCTACAATTACCTATCGTGAGGATGTAAAGTGTAAAGTGGAAGCAGAGTTTTCAGAAGTCCACAGAAGGGTGAAAGGCAAAATAAAGAATTTGGGAAATCTGACTGAATGCAAAGAGTGGTGGGGAGTTTATTTTTTGTGCTTCTTATGGACTACTAGTATAAAAGCATGAGGTCAGTCATGCTGGAACAGAGGCCTACAGAGGTTGTGAAATTTCCACCTAAGTGGTCCTGAGTAACCTGCCCCAATCAGACTTGCTTTGTATAAGAAACAGGTCTTAGCAACCTCCAGGGGGCTCATCCAGCCTACATCTGTGTCTTTTGAAGCAAACTGACAAGTCCATGAACATGCTTGACTTGCTTTGGTTAAATGATACAGACACTTCTGAAGAGATTTGTGTATGATGATGTAATTAGTAAGACTACATGCTAGTGATTAACATGAGCAGTAGAATTACCTCTTCTGGATATGATTCAAAGACCACAGTGTGCCAAACCTTGAAGAAAGAGTTTAACTAATCACAAGTCAAATGGATGGAAATGGCTGCAAATGGCTGGAAAAACTGCTTTTTTTTCCTTCTGAGTACCAGCAGAGGGAAAGCAAAACGCACTTCAAATTGTAACACTTTCCTAAGCATGCTCAGAACAAAATGGTGAAGTCCCAAATTTCTTGAATTACAGCAAGACTGCTTGCAGTGAACTCCAGTCAGAGAAGGCTAACATTCACATTAAAAGCTGCACCAGATAAGTGTTTTTGTTTATTTTGCTGTCACACTGTAATAGGAATTCATGAAGTTGACACCCAGTGATCACTGTCCTCCATCACCTTAAGTTAAAAGCACCTTTGGTTGTGAAATACAATTTTCTTGCTTTTTTTCTTTCAAGAAAGAATAACTTTTTAATAGTGTCCCACATTCATACATCTCTTGTAATTAAAAATCACAGCTACTGAAAAATCTTTTCCTTGAAACAGGTGTTTGCGATATGAGCTGGAAAGCAACTTTTGAGCCTGAGCATTTGTACAAATTAAATAAGCTCACTGATTGTTGTAATTAGTTTCCAAAGATAAGCCAATTCCTATTAGACAGTTATCTTCTAAATGCTTTCCTTGCTGAGTATGGACCAGGGAAATGCAAGGCACGAAATCTATTTGTATAGCTGGAGATTAGTTCCTATAATCAGGGAAAAGCATTCTGCGTTTTTCACGATAGTTTCAACAGTCATTCCAGTAATCTTAAAAACAAATGAACAAATAGAAGTAACAAAGCATTCTGGAAGGAGGAAATCAGCTGCTTCTTCAACACAAGAAACACAGTTATTCCACACTCCCAGAATAACCCGTCTGAAACACTGATAATTGAAACATTTTACATGTAATCTCTGCCATTTTACACCACAGACTAAATTAATGACAATATCTAAATGATTACTTTCCATGTTTGCCACGCTTTTGTGGCCAGCCTACAACAACATTTACTATATTTGAACTAATGCCTACTGTAGATGATTTACCTGGATACTTCTCCAGTTCTTGCAGCTTAGTCTTATTGATGTCTGTAGCAATGACTTTGGCTCCTTCTTTAGCAAAAGCCTGAAGAATACAATAAGAGATGTAGTTTGCTTTTAGATATCCCATATCTTACAAGAAAATCTGTTTTCTTGTTTGGTTTTGGTTTGAAATAAAAGTTGACTGAAGGCAGCTAATCTCCCCGTACTCATTCTAGGCAAGTGAGGAAGTTAATGGATATTGATTACTAAACATGCTGGGGACAACTGAAAAACTATGTTAGAGAGATTTATGTTCTTTTCTATGAAATAAGAAATCCATAAATAAAGCATGAAAGCAGTAACCAAACTAAGACAATGGGTATTATCGCCCTTAGTAACTGCGTGCACAGTAGTGAGGACATTACAAACACTTTAGGCTAAAATTATGTCTGATTTCTTATATAGGTGAAGACAAATTAAGAGGAATGACATGGCATGAACTTCTTTAGGATCCTTCACATCCAAATCATTGGAACAGAGTAATACTCAAAAGAAACATGGCTTTCATTTGATACTTTAACCAGACATATTCCTTCATTTCCTGATGTTCCCCTCAAAAATCCATTTTGTCTGCATATACAGCAGCCTCCATTCCATAGTCTCTGACACTGACCCCCAGTCTTCAAAATAAGTGTCTCAAACACAATCTAAGAGGACAGCAGGATTAAATGTGCTAGCCCTCCATGACTTGTAAGGTATTTGCAAAAGGAAATCACCAGTAAAGTGACCTTTAGACCAAGTATTTTAGTGCAAGTAGTGAAAATGAACAGTTTCATGCATTCTTAACTGTGTGACAAACTAACCTTGCAAAATTCCTGCTTACAGGGCTTGTTGATTAAATTATGCAGGTACTGAGATAACCCTGCTAGTTTCTGTCCACTGAGGAAGAAGGAAATAGCAGGGGCAGAACTTGTCAAAAGCAATAGTCAACAAGAAAAAAAAAGTTAAAAAAAAAATAAAAAAAATCAATAAATACTTTAAATTTTATTTTAACAATAATGAAGATGTTTAAAAGGGTTTCTCTCACTTTCAGAAATTTAAACAGCAGCAAGCATACATAATACAGTACATTGACTCTATTGCTCCCTGATTTTTTCAGTAAGTAGTTCTGGCTTCACCTATAGCTTATTAATTCAAGAACTTGTTTGGTGCAGGTGTTGTTGCACATGCTAGCATCAGACATCCAGCTTAGGTACAAGAGAACAAATTTTATCTAACTCACGATAGCAGTGGCTTTTCCAATCCCTTGTGCTGCAGCAGACAGAAGTATTACTTTCCCATCAAGCCGCCCCATGCTGCTGGCCTGCGCAAACAGAAAATATGAGTCTAATACAAAGTGAGTCAATATCACCCCCTGGGAATCAGGTGCAAATTCATTCCATAAACCAAAACACAATTCAGAGCATCTATACTATCAACTCACAAAGCACTCTTCTGGGCTGCTGAGTCAGCCAAGGTTCTGAGGGGGCACTGCCTCAGTCTTGCATTTATAAGGACCAAAATGCATTTGTGCTCAAAAGCCAAGCTCTATTTTTATCAGACTCAAAACCTCATTTAAACAAGAAAAAAAAAAAAAAAAAAAAAAGAATGATGAGACAGAAGTAAAATAGCTTGTAATCTAGCATCTCCACTGTACACTGTATTCTTAGAATGCAGGTCTTTTCTATTTCTCTCAGACTACTACATTCAACTTCCTAGATGACAACACAATTTGCACAATACCCTCCAGGACTCTGTGAAATGCATTTTTTCCCATCACCTAAGACTGGCATTTGTCCACTTTGAATTTTCTTGAGAATCTCCCAACACAGAAGATTCTCAGCTCCACAGAGTAAGAGGAGGAAGATGAATGAAAATCCCCCCTCACTTTTACATCATTTGACATTAGAGAACTACTGAAGATGCTTGGGGCAAAAGGTGGGGAAGATTTTTTTTTTTTGAGTGCTGGATGACACAAATAACCTTCCAGGAGGTTTCACCTTACTCAAGCTGTGGAAACCAAAAGGCAAAGTGCAGTTTTTTCTCTGCCTAGGTAGACACTTTCAAAGGAGTTAGTATGTTTGAAGAAATACAGTTTACAATGGTGAAAACAATCAAGCAACTGAGCTTCTCTATATAGCTACGAGTGTAGGAATGTGTCCCTAAACCCTTAAGTTTTTTTAAATATAAGCATGAATCCAACATGCCGAATACTTCATTTGAGTTGCATACAAACACCGTTATTTCCCCTACATTAGCAGCCAACAATACCACCTGGAGACAGTCAAATTCACTCTGTGATTTGTTAGTTCAGTTTAGGTTTTTACATCAGATTACTCGTTCAATTTGGACTTGAAATCTTTCTTTCCCAGAAGCTTTGCTCCCCTCCCCCCCTTTTTTGAAGCAAAACTAGTATATTTCTCCGAAGGTTACTGATTCAACATGGAACAATGGACTTCTTTCTAAACAACTTGACTAAAAAGTTATTTCTGCTGTAATACAAAAGCATTATCTCACTTGACTTAAAGTCAGCCTGACATACAGACATTTTTTCAACCTAATTTTAGGGTTTTGCTGATAAAAGAACAACTGACACAAACGTAAAGAAAAAAGCAAACAAAAACAAAATGACAAACCACCAAAATAGTCCACAATGTAAGCAATAAGAACATGCATTTTTTTTTTTTAACTAGAAAAAATTTTTAAAAAATTGCATCTTTTTTTTCTAATTTGTGAAAGGCACAACATCTTGAACGTAATTTTTAGGTGAATAAAATGATGCATCTTAGGATGCCTCTGACGTACGCTATATCGCTACATGAGATTGTGCCTGTGCTAGCAAAATTTTTTTCATTTTAACATGTGAAGATTGCAATGTTAAACAGAGTAAAATGAGACCAATGTATACAACTAGGTAGCACTACCTCTGCAATGTACTGCACTTATAGCAAAAGTCCCAAGTTTGCTCAAAGCACTCAGTCAAGGCTGTGTAAACTCATTCTTTGCTGTTACACGCATTTTCAATATATATAAAAAAAAACCACCAGCTGAAGTACTTCCTCAAATCACCCTACCATTTTAGATGTAAAATGCTTTATAAACACATTTTTGATCTGACAATGAGTTTTCGTGAACATTTGACACACCAATTCTATGAAGCTTTTGAAACGAGGGAGATTAACAGCCACTCACCAAAAGATCTCAGCCAGCTTGGTACGTGTAACGACCTTTGTGAAAAAGGAAGTCTTATGACTTCCCTGCTGTGCTTGTTGGGAGTTGTAGTCTAACTGGAAAGTTTCTCTATGACAGTAATTTCCTGTTGAAACACAAAGATGCTGCCATCTAGTGAAACTCAAGACTTCAAGTATGATTTTCTTCTGCGCAGTGCAGGGACAAAGAAGGATCATAAACCTCAGCTACCCATTTTTTCCTAAAGAATGCAAGAGATCAACAGAATATTCACCAAAAAATAAGGTTTTGTAACTCATCTGCCTAAAAAAAAAAAAAAAAAAAAAAAAAAAAATTAAGTTTTTTTTAAAAGCATTTCTCTTCCTCTCCCACTTTGTCTACGGAATTGAGACAGACCTGTGCAGTACATCTTTGTTTTTCAGCTCAAGCACAAGAGAAATCTCCAAATCTTTTATTATTCCAGAAAGCAATTAATACAGTATCTTAAAACTGTAAAAAGCAAACAAAAAACCCTAGAAAAACAAAACAAAACAAAAAGCAGCACAAGACAGCAGCGCCAGATATGCCTTCCACCCTTCTGAAAGACTGTTGAATTCTGATAAACACAGGAAATATTTTTTTTAATAAATAATTTGAAATTGTAAAAAAGAAAATCCCAAAACCACACCAAAACCCAAACTGCTTGCATTTATCAAAGTTGGGGAAATAAGATACTCCTGCATATTCACGATTCTAGTAAGACACTGAATTTAGTAATTGTATTTCAAGACTGTTAGCTGAAAACACCCAGGTTCTAAAGCTTGCCAATATGCATTCCAAGTCAAAATTTTAGAAATTCAAATACTCAAATTCAAAAACTCAAATTTTGAGTGCCAAATCTCTCCCATATAGGAGGGAAAGGATCTATTCCAACACTTCCTGTCAAAGCAAAGAGTCAGAAAGGAAGAATTAAGCAAAACACTGGTGACACAGATTTGTGCATTAGTAATCTGCAGAAAGATACTGCAACAGGCAAGAAACATGATGATAGAAGTGCTCTGATTATTAGAAAAAAGTGTCTTTAGACAGTGAATCAGCATCCCCAGATCATAGCATCATATCACTACAAAAGTGAAGTGTTTAGATACCTAAAACATTAAAAGTTTGTCAGAAGAAACCTTTTCATACAGAACATTAAAATAGGCTTCAAAATCCAGATGAGTAGGATAGTAAAACATAGTCCATGTTACGACCCCAATTGTTCAGTTTTATTTTCAACTCATAAGAGCAACAGGATAGTATCAATCAGATCAACTGCTTACTGTTTGAAAAAGAAAATAATCCAGAACCCAATTTCAAGCAGGAAATAAAGTATATTCAAAGATGACAAGAAAAACAAGTTATTTTTGCACCATAGTTTACTGAACTGCAGAAATATTTTCAAGAATTTAAGAGAAATCCTACAAAAAGAAAACGAATAAATTTAGTTGTAATATCCAAATAAAGAGGTTAAAGTTGCAGTGAAAAATGTAGTATTAAGAAAAAAAATATTAACTCGGTATAAAAACCATCTGTTGAGAAACAAAATGAACTAATGAGTAGATACAAAGCACCCAGAAGAGGACTGTTACAAAAATGCCAAAGAAGTTTAAGATCAAGAAGTTTCACAGTAGATCAGTTTGTGATCCATTCTTGTGTCCGTTTTTCTTCAGTACGTTAGCTTTACTTTCTTTGCTACACAAAACAAAAGCAACCAAAGGACAACATCAGCAGGTTGCAGGTAACATGTCTACTTTCCCATTTTTGTTCTTGTTTTAAAGCTTTTCCACTTCTGGGAAGTAGTAGTTCCAACACAAGGGACTGGCACGCCATCAGGGTTCTTCTCACAATAGATGGCTTTAACCTGAAGCAACCATTTTCCATGTAGCTAGATTCTGATTGTAGCCCTTGTAAAGGCAGCTAACAACAGAACACCTCTATTGGGTGTTACAATCAGAGACTTTATCTTTCTCTGAAGTTTCAAACCACTTCTTAAGATGGTCTTCTGTGGACTCCATTCCTGCAGGTTGTGTATCTGTACAGAAAATAAGAACATTAAAGTGACATTTTCCCAATTAGACAAGCAGTAGGAATATAGCAATTTATTCTCGACTAGTTTTAAACATCAGCTAGCAAAACTTGCCTCTGAGAAGCATGGTGCTGTGAAGAAGGCTATACTATTACCTAGTTGGACTTCACAGAAAATGGCAGTGAGTCATTCTTGCTGCATGTCTGCCAGTCTAATTGTTGTTAAAAGTCTTCAGCATGCCTGCTGGAGCTTCACGAAAGCTTTTAGAAGCAGGTTGATGAGGGCAGTAGCACTAATATGCTAAAATCACTAGACTTCCCAGAAATCACCAGTCCAGTAATAAGAAATATCAGAAAATATCAAAACAGCTATTACAGCAGCTAGAGACTGCCATGCTGGCAAATTCAAAATCCAAGATCAAAAAATCAATAATCTTGATAAGGAAATGTTAGAAAGTAGGCAACCAGCAGTTAACTCTGAATAGATGATAGCACAGTCTGTGAAAATCGGTTTTGTCAGAAGCGTGTGCTTAACTGGTGTAAAAGTTAAAAAGCAAAAGATTCTAGAGCATCATTTGACACGATATTCTACCTCTTCACTTTATAAAGCAATTGGTCATCAGCACTTTCTGTGAAGCAAGAGAAATAATAAGTTTGCCTAATCTTCAGGAGGTATGTGTCCTAAGTATTATTCAGGTGATGTAAAGCACGGATAATCTTGGCACCAGCTGGGCAGCCCTTTAACAACCTGCTGAATAGGCATTCAAAAAAGCTGCTTCTATACATTTCAGGCCTGATCAGGGAAAGTACAGGACATCTACTCTCAAAGACCACCCCTTATATTCTGTCTCTCCTAATAACTTTAATAAGACACCACCATGTTACATACCTATTAGTGTACTTAAGTTGGAATTATCAAAGAAGTTTGTTGGACATGTCAGTGGCAGAGGCTTTGATATGTACTGAGTCACAGTTTCCTGAGATACAGACTCCTTGGAGGGTGAAGCTGGCTCTCTAAGGGAACGTGAAACTGTCTTCTTTGGAGATCTTGGTACTGTCTCTTGAGTAGTCTCTCTTGAGAATCGTTCTCTCAATTTTAGTGCTCTTTCTTTCCATTTTCTAAGTTCCTCCTTCAGTTGAAGCTCATTACTGAGTAGGAAAAAAAAATCCCAGCATTTCATTAATAAAAACCTTCAGTTGTTCTCTGAAGTAAAAGGAGAAACAATCCTGACAATGCAGTTCCTACATCTTCAGATGACATATCACAGACAGGCAATAAAAGCCTCTTATGATAACCAAATGTATCAGCTCTAGAGGTACAAAGTTTCTTGGATTTTTTTTTCCCCTTTTTAAGCTAAGATTCCTTTCAACAATTTTACCGTATACATTTTCAACTAAGTTCATCTCCCACTTACTGATAAACATTTAGAACAAATTCTTACAGAAGTAATTTAAAGCTCAAAAGCCATTAACAGGTACACACACACAAATACGTAACTAGTATTAGTTACTAATACAAGTTTAGACTTGCTACATTCTTTTGCATCTTAAGAGGAGCAGTTATTCAGTTCTACAGGTTTCCTAGAAAGAAATGGTGATAATTACTTACTTGATGCTTACCATTTTTATGCTTACCTTAGTAGAATATCATTTTGTTTCTTCAGGTACAAGTTTTCTTTCTGCAGCTTAACTTGTTCAGATTTTAAAACAAGCATTTGTGTGCTCTGCACAATACCACTACCACCACCACAAGTAATGGGGATGGGCATTTGGGATTTCTGGGGAACTTCTTTTTCAGACATTACTAGAAAAAATTTCATACAAATACGTGTATTATTATTATTACAATATTTAAAAACCACATCAATATATATTTTAGATATGTCTATACAAGATTTCTTCCTGTAGTCTTATATGTAAAGCCTCACTAGGTTACAAGTGTCATTACAACAGCTATTTTTAAAACCCACTGTATGGGAGCTGTTGAGTCATGGCCTGAACCACTGATTGATCACCTGAGGAAAGGACTGGGTCAGCCCAGTGGGAGACAGGTGAAGGCAGTTCAACTCCTTCGTGGAGTCCCTTCTGCAAACCTACATCTTTGGATACAGATGAGCATTCTTTCCCTGTTTGTTTCTTTTCACCACAATAATCTATCTGGCTGTAACACCAACCTTAACACCCACCATCAGTAATCACATTGCCAGGGAGATATTAAGAAGCATAAGAGATGCTTCATTGGGCCATTTAGCTTTAATGTAGTTAAATAGTTTGAGTTGTATCACCGTGTAGGGAACCTCAGTACAGGAGAGGCACAGATTAGTTGAAGTGCATCCAGACTAAGGCCACAAAAAATACTGAAGGGATGGAGAACCTGTCCTACAGAGACAGGCTGAGAGAGCTGGAGTTGTTCAGCCTAAAGAGAAGGATCTGAGGTGATCTGATAGTGAACTTTCTGTATGTAAACGGTGGCCACAAGAAAGAAGGTCTGTTGTGATAAGACAAGGGGAAATACTTTCAAACTAAAGGAAAGGAAATTTAGATTGAATATAAGGAAAAAGATTGTTTTTATAATAAGAGTAGTGAAATATTAGAACAGGTTGCACAGAGAGATATGGTAGATGCCCCATCCCTGGAGACATTCTGAAGATAAGGTTGTTCAGAGCCCTGTCCAGCCTGATCCAGTTATTGGTGTCCCTGTTCACTGCAGGGGAGTCATAGCAGCTGACCTCTAAAGGTCCATTCCAATTCATACAATTCTGTATTTCTAGTTCTAATCACAGAATTAGAAACATAAGGCACTACAGCTGCAGCAGCTTATCATTATGATTGCTAGTATAACTGGAGAAATACACAAAAAACACCAAAACAATACAAGACCTGCTGTGATTCTAATACATTGCACATGCAGTTACTGTATTTTTACCTTCTATCTCTTCCAAAGCACCTAACCCTTTCTCCTATCTTTTTGAAATAAAAGGCCTGCATCCCAATCTGGAATTTAAACTACGTAAAATTAAAACTGAATGCTTAATAT